GTTATCCAATTCTACTTTTCCTGGTACAGTTACCATGGTATTAATACTACCATTAATAGCAACAGTACTAGTATTGCCACTTCGGATAAATAACACGAATGAAACCAGGACATATGATATTGGCCGTACCTCATAATGATCAGAAAACGTACGCTGCTCCCCACCAACAGATCATATAGGCATGCCGACATTGTCGGCTAGAATCAACTTATCTTCGTTTAATCTAATATGATAATAACCAGTGCTTCCATTTTGAAGGAAATTTCCTTTTGAAAGGATTTTTTGGCAAAATGAAGGAAATAAAAAGGAAATAATTCTTAAAGGAAATTTGAAGGAAATTCTAGAAAAATAAAGGAAAGTTGAAGGAAAATACAAAAATATCTTAAAATTAGTTAAATTTTGGAAATAAAGTGTAAAATATGTCTCAATTCGATTTGCGGAAGCAGAGTAACCAGACAGGCAGCCGCATAAGTCATAACCGCATTCTTTCTACAGTATAATATTAATACTCTTAGCTTCAGGTTGCTTTCATATTCGAATATGTCATTTGTTCATTTATAGGTTAGCAATGTTTTGAAATTCCCAAGAATCACGTGTATATATCTCATTTACATAGTATAAGCACGTGATTTTTGAAGGGGAATTTTACAATGTTAACACGGGGAAAATGTTACAACGGTAATTAAATTACTGTATTACTGCAGTTGCATTATTGATATGTAGCTACAAAACCTTGATCGATGTATTAGTTCCTAATTTCTTCATATTTGTCACTAAAAATTGGTTAAAATTGGCTGTAAGTAGTGTATAATTTATAGTAAATTACAGATTTTCTTCGATGAGAGTTTGTTGAACACTGATTTTGAGAAGGAAATTTGAAGGAATTTTTGATATTTTTTGAAGGAAATTCCGGTCAAAAAAAGGAAAAAATAAGGAAATTACCAAGTTCGGAAATGGAAGCACTGATAATAACCGCCAATTAACTATCCCCAGAAAAGTAGAATTGAATTACCTTTCTCAGAATTGAATTACCTATTTTTCTCGCACCGACAAACATACTTTTGGACGTTGACATATCAAAGTTTCCGGAACGGTGGTGAAAAATGCCTCGCCTATCTATTCTTTGCTTGCACATGACGTCACTACGTGGCATTAGGCGCCATCTTGGCCGATTTTAAAGTTTTGACCAGCCGTTTACATCGAAATAGTTGAGTAACTTTAATATTTTTCGTTTGTTTTGAAAACATCTTACTGTATTATGGATAGTTTACGATTTCTGGCACAAAACGACGAAGAATGAAGAATATAGATTTTTAGTTGCCACGAAAATCAACCAAGATGGCGTCGATTGCAAACGAGCAATACTATATAGAAATAATAACATATATACATTTAGTATTTTGCACAAGTGAACATAACAAATCCTACAAGGTGATTGGTCAAATTTGACGTATTAATTTTCGGATTAATGGCGGCTAGCCGTTTTGTTGAAGTTAGTGATAAAGAAATAAGCGAAATTAAAATGAATTCAGACCAGAAAAACACAAAAAAACTTGTGCAAAAATACTAAAACAATTATTCGCCTCAGGTTCGGTGATTATCGGAGAATATTCACCTCGACTTCGTCTCGGCGAATATTCCCCGATAATCACCTCGCCTTCGGCGAATAATTGTTAAATATATACGGCCCTTACTCCTAAGGCTTCTAGTTATAGTCGGGAAACTTGTAGCCAAAAGTAGGTAAAAAATGCCACATATTCTGGATTTAATTTGTTGTTAGATTTTGGCAAAGTAGTATTCTATGCAGAGGTACGTACTGAATATTATTTTCTGTTTGCAGGCTGTCACAGTTTTTTTCTCAGACATACTCAGTCAGGGAACTGCATTGCAGAAGGAAGTCCCATTGTGGAAGATGAATATGCTCGACGTTATTGGGCTGAAATGGATGACAACTGCGTACACTATCGTGCTCGATTCCGTTATCTCGATACCAATCTATTACACAATTTCAAGACCGGAGGGTCGTTAGTGTCTAATTATGGGAATAGCACTTTCCTTAATCGTTTATACATATATGACAGCAAAAACCAGAAAGGAAAAGAGTTCGAAAACAATAATGAGCATCGGTTCAAACAAACAGATGCTGGATCTTTGTTTCTTTACAACAGCACAGTGAACTCTTGTGCTCAGCCTAATGACACTTATGTTGATCAGAAAAAAGATGGATGCAAAAACACAGCGGAACAAAAGTTTACTTTTGGTAAGGCAAATATTTAACGCCTTAGTTTTTGAGGCTATATATTAATTGTACAACATTTCCAAAGATTTGGGCATTGAGGAATCAGAAATCAAATTCATTTTCATGATTATTGACATGTAGACCCATAGCTGGCTATGTGAATATCGTTTTCAAATGGTTGCAGACAGTATAATAATATACTAGAAATACGAGTTTCAAATAATACACTTTATGCCTGGTTCCGAGGGAAATAGTTTGTTCGTTAAATAGTCCGGGGCGAAGTCGAGGTCAATAATAACAAACACTTCTGCTGGGAATAAAATTCGAAAAGCATTATCCTTAATAACGCATCCAATTTTAAATATTTTCAAAAATATTTTTTGTATATATACGAGGGAGTCATTTTTAAGCTCTCCAAATGTAAATATAAAAAGTCGATTTTTTGGACGATCTATTTTTTTATTTTAGCTTTGCCAACTAGGGCAGGGTCACCACAACAGCATATGCCAATTACCTTGGGCCCTTTTACCTATAACCCGACCTGGCA